AAACCTAAAAAACATACTGTCTGAATTCCAGCAGATGGAGAAAGTGTAAAGCTATGTATGACTCTGAAGGAATCTGGACCTGGTCTTTACCAGGGCAGGATGATTTTACACAGACTGAAGGGGGGCAGGGACGGTTCTGTTAGTGCGTACACCAGTGAGGGGGGTTGTATCTGTGTTTACTATGGGTAATGAACCAATCAGCTGGCCGCCCAGGGGAGGATGTGGGGGTGTCATCTCGGGAATGGGGGGTTGCGCCCCATGTTTCCTCTTCCCAAATGTGGGTCACTTCCCATCCTCGGGTGATTTCCCTCGCGTTTCTGCAGGAACAATAACCCTCCTGCACCCCCCCAAAAACCCCCTATCAAATCACTTACTCATTAATGATGCTCTTAATTAATTGTCTCGTTAGCTCTCTCCTGATGTCTCATCCTCATCTGTCATTGTTATTATCCGGCTACTTCCTGAATCACTTATTGTGGGTCATTTCATATGACAGGGGATGATGTCTATAGGAAGCCGTCTATTTGTGTGTACCTCAAAGGTCTTATTAAAAAAACAACCCCCTCCTGTTCCTTTCTCTGCCTCCTGCGGGTCACTAAGTATGGGTGTAGGACGGGAGTATTGAATTTATTGGATTGACAGTGTGCACTCTGGAAGTCAAATGTCCTCTGGAAAGCTTCAGGGTGCAATCAGATGAACCTTTTAAGCTGCATTAACAAGTGCACTAACCTTGATGCAAACCTCTAACATATAGATTTTTCTCTTAAGATGTTTTCCAATGAGGAACCTCTTATCTTTCTTTACATCTTTGAGGAAGCCCCACTAAATCACTTGCTTTACCAGCACAGTTTGGCAAGAGCCTCTTACCTCTTTTCAGGTTTTTAGGGACTGTCTGGGGGACAAAAAAAAAAACACAAGAACAAGAAAGGTCAGCAGACATGCAATGTGCAGGAGATCCATAGTTCGGCTTTAAGTGGCTGACCTCCACAAGCCCCTTGGTCACAGCATGAAAAGAGCAGCGGCGATCGCAGATGACAGTCGCTTTATACCTTCTGTAATGTCTTTGTCTGCTCATGGAATGACCTGCCATCCCACAACGAAGAATCAGCCAAGAGAATGGCTTTCACTACGATAGAGAACAGTTCAACAGCTAACTGCAAGCAAAGTCAATCTAATTCCTTTCACTTGATGCACATTGTTTTACACATTTTTATTTTTATTTTTTTCAGTTTTTACATCTCCAAAGTCAACTTTTGTTTTTGATTGGCACATATGTGGCTGAAAGTGGTGGTTATAATTAGATCCAGGTCAGCTGACACAAACAGACACAGGACTGCTCTTTTTTATGTGAAGTGAGCGCACCAATTCACATGATATACAATGAGGATGATGATGATGGTGACATTGGGGGTTGGGGATGTTTCATATTTGTGCACAATATGCTCAAAATGGACCCATTATATCCAGAGGTTACTGATTTCCAATTGACATCCCCCAAGAGAGATTTTTAGCCCTGGGGGCTTTTCAATAGCAGCCTTTTAATGGTTTGTCTAACCTTCTGCAGCGATGTTAAAGCCTGTTCCAACACACTTTGACTCCCCTGTTTTTCTTTTTACCTTCTGCAATCTGATAATTTTTTTATCAGTAATTAGACTCAACAAACACCCAATACACCAAGTGAAAAGACAGAAGGAAGTTACTGTACGCAGCAATTCAGTACAATACTTTACTTATAACTAATTTCTGTTTCTGTGGAGACAACTACTTCTATTGTTTGTGTGTT